GCAAGCGCGATTTCTTGTCGCGCACGCCCCCACACGGTCTCTTCCCACGAGCTTGCGCAGCATGATTATCGACGCGATAGTCGGTATTTTATGCACTATATGTAACTCTTTCGTCCCAATCCTTCCTCCTGTTCCTTTGAGATTCCTATCTCCTTATGCGGAACAACGAAACATACAGATTTCTCAAAGTTACCATTTCTGTTAATGTCGCGGTTTTTTCATTCCTCGCGAGAATCAATGAACATAATTTTCATGAATCATATCGAGCTTTTCATTATAATGATTCATAAAAAGGATAAAAATATTTTAATTTTTCCCTTAATCAAATTAGATTTTTATTTTAATGTTTGCTATAATTTATTTACAAACATATAGCTTGCTACAAACACTTGCTATATGTATCAATCTTGCCATATATATGGCAGAGTAGAAAGGTACAGAAAAATAGCTAGACTGTAATTACAATTTAAGATAACATAATTATGCTATTTATTAGTACAGAGAGAATTGTTTGCAACTGCAAAATGCACTCGTATAATCGTATGTTTTGTTGGCTTTGCAATTCAGAAATAAGATACTGCAGTATTGTCGCAACCTTCGAAGTTGAAGGCCGTCGATGTTCAATGAAAACGAGTATATTTGTTATGTATTTGCAGTGCATCCTTCTGTTGATGTTTATATATCAATTATGTATGTTAAATGAAACATATTATAATTCCTTCAAATCTTTAATTAAAAAGGAAAAATACTTTACGTTAAGATATAAAATAAATAAATTATTAAAAGTTATTTAAACTTAAAATTAAAAATATTAAAAAGTTTTGGAAGAATTGATTTAATTACTTAGAAAATATTTTTACGCTCGATTATGTTTTATTCAATCGTATGCGTAATTGATTTCGTACTATTCCGTATTATTCCGTATTATTCCACACAATTGCTTTTATTTTGTAGCTGCATAAGGCAGATCGATATTCGACAGTTCTCAAACTAGTCACGAATATATTCCAAAGATATTCTGATGTTTGATAATATCAATTACAAAAATAGACGTTTATACTTTGTAGCGAAAATGCAAACCGAACTTCATTCGAATATTTTAATTCCTGTTAATCTAGAAGATTAGCAACATGAACAAAATTCCTTTCTTATAAACAAATTTCAATTCAGTTTATCCAGTAAGAAAGAAAATCGAGATAGTCACGCGTTTAACTCAAACGGATAAATTTCTGCGAATCCCGCAACTGTTTTATCACTTGTTTCGCAACTGTACTCATTTCATTTTTATTCGAAGTTGCAATATCTTCTATTTTACTAATCGGTAGAGTAGTAATCAAGTCTTGAATGTATTTGGGATTAGTCAGGCCATATGTCATTGATTGTAACACGCGCAGACATAGAAATTGTGTTTCATCTGGTAATGAATTGTTTTTCAAGTAACAATTTAACACGTCGCCTACTCGTGATTCGAAGAGATGCTGTAAGCCGGTTTTATTCATACTGACGTTATAGAATATCATCAACATCAATCTATATAGAAACACAATATTCGATCCGATTAAGAATATCAAAAATTAGGAATATCAATCATTCGATATTTATAAAATTACCTTTTTAGAGATAGAGAACCTTGCGAAAGTGGCAAAGTGGGCATAAGTTTCACCATTTTTTGTACTAAAGCTCTTCCATTCGGATCAGTGATTAAAAATTCACGTCCCTCAGGTGTTGCGGATATGTTAGTCACGATGCCTAACAATCCAATTATAAACTGATATTCGACATTGCAAGTAGGGGGAAAAGCGTTTTGATAAGTGTTTATAAATGCGACGAAACTTCCGTCTGTTATCGATAAAAATTCACCGATCATATGCTGAAACTATAGAGCAATTAGTTTCTATAAAGCAAAACTATACTATTCTTTAAATATTATATTATTTGAATTATTTTTGAAAAATAGAAATATTTACCCCAGAAAGCCAAACGTCGACAATTTCTGGAAGTCGAGATGCGCGCCATGTTAAATTACCCAAAACTGCCCCTAAAGTTGCACAGTATGTACTTTGATTCAATATCTATAAAAGACATAAAAATATTTATTTATTCTAAATAATAACTATTAAAATATTTCATGTTAAATTATCGCTTAATTAAATTATTAATTAATTAATAATTTAATTATTAAATTATTATTAAATCACTTGTTCTCTTAAATATTCTATTTCTTCTTGAGCCTTTTTATTTTTATCTATTTGTTGTTGCAATTGGCTATGTAACTGTTCACATTTGAGCTCTAAAACTGAAATTTTTTCTTTTTCCTCTAAAAATAATAAAAATATTAATCAATAATATGTTGTAGCTTATTAAAAAAAAAAATAAAAATAAAAGAATACCTTTATTTATTTCATCGGTTAATGATTTCGGAAATAAAGAAACGAGATCTTTTTGACCATCATCTATGTTTAATTTATCTAAGTCTATATCTAATCCAGAATTAACGAGCGTTTGCGGAATATCTTTTATAAATTTATGGATATTTTTTTCTACTGTGTTTAGGGTGTCTTCCACAGAAATCTGAAAAATTATATTACATATATATTACGAAGATATAAGTTTTCTTTTGCATCATTTCCGGATATTTTTTTTTATATTCTAAAAATTTCTAAAAATCATGAGATATAGAATGAACAATATTAATCATTTTTTGTATATTAAACAAATATGAATACCAAAAATTGTTTTTCGTCTTCTAAATTTGTTTGTTCTTCTTGAGCATTCTTGTCCATGTTTGTTCAATTGAATTTTATATTGATACAAGTAATTTCCTTGTATGTTTAGCGAATTGATATTTTGAATATTTTTAACATGTTGACAATTATCGTAACCTACACGAAATATAAATTATCATGAAGATGTAAAAATTTATATATCATAGAAAGACAATTTTGAATATATTATAATTGTACAGATTATTTGTTTTTTTAAATAAATAATTGTTTATTTACTTACAAATTATTTTTAATTATATTCTTCTTTTCGTATAAATCACGAAAAAATTAAAATCTTATTTCTTTAATTATAATTTCCATAAAAAAAAAGACAAAAAACATAATATTACTATTTTCAGTCAATATCTAATAAATAATAATGTTTAGATATAAATATATGTAAAGTAATATGATATATTTGATAAAAAAAAATTATTTTTAATCAAATTCGATTTTTTTCTAAAAAAAAAGTTTCTGTCTAATGCACTTCTTCCAAATACTGAATTCGATACAAATATTCAACTTAACAATATCTTTATTTTGAAAATATATTTTTATTCGTCTATACTATATGAAACATCCTTAAATTTGAAATTTTTTATGAATCCATCATAATATAAATAACGCATGTATTTAGCGTGGCTTGCATTTTATGCATCTCGGAACACTCGAGGATGAGCGTGGTTTCGTGTTATGATGCAAAAAAAAAGCGTTAATTATAACCTTTCGATTAGAAGCTCTCTTATTTTTAAACTAAACGGAATTTCATCAAGATATTGCTGTAGCCTAAGTAAAATTCCATGTAAGTTGTAAAAATACGATGATTAACATTTTGATATGTTAGAATTTAATTCATGAATCATTATATGCGTTTGTTTTTGATCATAGAAATTGTAAATAATATTACAAATATGAATAATAGTTTAATGTTCAAAACATTTTTTATTGTATGATTATAATTGTTTTATATTGATACAAATGTTATTTAGTATATTTATTTTTAATTGTTATATAACAATGATATTTTAAAGATCATTAATAATTTTCAGATGCAATATGAAATTTTCAGAAGGAGAAGAAATACTTGCAAAATATCCAAACTCTGATAAATATTATAAAGGCAAAATTTTAAGTATAAAAGGTGAACAATATAAAGTACAATTTGAAACAGGCATTGAACAATATATTGATTCAACTGATATTAAGGTATATTTTTTATTATATAATATATGTGCTTTGCTTTAAAAATATTTAAGTTTACTATATTTTTTCTTTTTATATAACTTTTCAAAATTTTAGATGGATAGGCCATCAAGAAATATAACAAGAAGTAGAAGAGGAAAAAGTCCTACTAGATATTCATCAGTTAGAAAATCTCCACGTAAACGTTCACCTGGAAGATCTCCATCAGCTGGGTCTACAAGAGGACATAGATCACAGTCTACAAATCGTACAAAGTTTGCAAAAGTTTCTTTGCCACGTATAGAAGTATCTAGTGGTAAATAAGTTGTTATAAATAATATGCAAATGAATTTTTTTAATAATATTATTAAATAATTTTTTTGTGAAAAATATATAGATATACAACATAATGATGATAAAATTATAAGTAAAAAAAAGACACATGATGATGATTTTGTTGAATCAATGCCTCTTCAATCACGATTAAAGGAACTAGGAACAATTACACGTAGGTCAACGAGATTATTATCTGGTATGCCGAAACCTGAATCAGATCATAACATAATTTTATTAACAAGAAATATTAATCGAGCTGTCTCACTTCCTTCAGAAAGGAAGAGTCAGATGAATGATTTTAGTATAGATGTAAAGGAAAGAGGTCATTCAGTACAAAGAGATCAAGTAAAGTTTATTATATATTATTTATAATATATTAATGTAAATATTGCAATTTTGAATATAATGTTTCATTTCAGGATTTGTTAAAAATAAATTATAAAGATATAGATATAAATACACAAATGATAGAAAAGCGAAAAAAAGAAATCAATATGGTTAGTGAACCACAAGAATGGGGAGGAATGTTTGGAACTTTTATTCTTATATTTCTATTACCTGTGATTATGATTGGACCGCAATTATTGTGCGCAAAAAATGAATGTACGTTTAAATATCATAAAATATCTACAGATCTAAATTTTTATGTAAATGTAAAAGCTTTTATTGCATATTTAAGTCTCTTTTTATTTGTAATAATTGTTTCGATCATACCAATCGGACGAAAACTTGATGGACTACAAAGTAGAATTGAAAGATTACAATATCGTTTAAATGGTAATTTTATATTGAATTTTGAAAATTTATTATATTTTGAAAATAAATTATTAGAATAGAATTATTATCATTTTCTTTTTTTCAGGTTTTTTGTGTGGTATTTTATCAATAATTATATTTGCTACATGTATATACAATGAAATTAAAATTACTGATTTTATTCTGCAAAATAATATACAGTTTTCAATCATTGGTTGGATTCTTGGAATAATTTTATCAGTTTTATTATTTATAAAAGGAGGCAGAGCTTCAATAGCTAATTTAAATATACATGGATCTACTAACAGTATGATATATAACTTTTGGCAAGGAAGAGAAATAAATCCACGAATTGGTCCTGTGGATTTTAAAATAAATCTTTTTCGGACTTCTATGATAACCATAGTAATAATTTTTTAAAAAGTATTTCTATTTATAAAAATGTATAATATAAAATATGTACAATTTTATTCAAATTACAGATTCTCATAAATTTATCTATTGCAATCAAAACAATTGAAGAAACTGAAATATATACTTTAGAACATCTTAATATAGGCGCCTTATTAGGTACTTTATTACAAATCATTTATGCAATGGATGCACTATTTTTTGAATCTGCATTATTAACGACTTTCGAAATAATGTATGAGGGAACTGGATATATGTTATGTACAGGTTATATGATGTATCCATTTTTACCGACTCTTACGACAAAATATATGTTATATCACAAGTAAATATCAATAATAAATAAAAAATAATAATATGCTATATAATTAAAATTTTAATGAAATGTGATTTTTAAATTTCAGGACACAACTTACTTATCTATTTATTTTTCCTATAATCACTTTTATAATTGGCTATTTGTTATATAGAATTAGTAATCTACAAAAAAATAAGTTCAGAAGGAATCCTTTATCTCCATCATTAATGCGTAAGTATAAGATTAGCTTACATTTGTAATTGTAATGTAATAAAATACTTTTTTTATATGATTTATGCATTTATCTTATAGATTTAGAAACTATACCAACTATACGTGGTAAAAAACTTATAGTATCTGGGTTATGGGGTTATATAAGACATCCCAATTATTTAGGTGATATAATAATGTGGTGGTCAATATCATGTATAAGTTTAGCATGTGATATTTTGCCTTATTATTATGCAATTTTGTGTACAGGATTACTGATACATAGAGCTATAAGAGACAATGAACGTTGCAAAATACGTTATGGTTTAGCTTGGGAGCAATATATATCACGTGTTAAGTATATGATTTTCTATCGTATATTTTAAAGTAATATAATATGTATAAAATATTAGCAAAGTACTTTTAGAGATACCAAAATATGTTACAAAGTTGTACATTTAAAAACAATAATGCTCATTATTTCATAAAATATATTTTAATCACATTAGAATTATATAGAGTTTATACATACATATGTGACATAGTATGTAGGGTCCAAATTAGCTCAATACAAAACCAAAAGAAATAATTGTTTAATATTTAGATTTAAGCATATCATTCATAAAATCTTTAAAGCAATGAACAAAGTGTGGTTATCAAAAAAGTACATTTTAAAAAAAGATATAATTTAAGATATTGTTGATATGAATATGTATATTGTAAAGTATATTTCTATGATGAAAACATTAAAATAAGATTTTTATACTTTTTATACAAATATGTACATTGACAAATAAATAATTTTTTAATAGACGCGTCATTTTAAAATTACATTTTCTGGTAATAAGATGTATAATATTTTATAAAAATAAATAAATAAAGAATATATTTTGTGTTTTTCTTTTTTTCTGTACATTAAACGAAATATTAGAAAAAATCGATTTATAATGTCATCTGATATTTTAATGGATTCATGACTATGACACATGACGTAGCACTAAGAGCAGTATTTTGGAAAGAATTTTGTGGTGATTTTTATTAATTTCATTAATAGAATGGCAACTTTTTTTGGTGAAGTAGTATTTCCAGTTTCACGAGCATTTTGGGATGATGAAGATGAAAATAGAGCTATTGATTATTCAGTTAATCAATTGTAAATTACACTTTCGTTAAACATAACCTCTTTATTATAAATGTTCAAAAAATTCAAATTTCTTTTAAATATGTTTCAGCGAATTATCTATTCAATGGTTAAAAGAAAAACCACTTGCAATTGATACTTTAATTATAGTTGAAGGCGAAATGCTAATTGGTAATGTATATTTATATTCTTGATATTTTAATTATGTTATGAATATTTTTAACAAAATTGTAGATTTTTCAAGAGAATGTTTATGTCCAAATTCTAAAGAAATATGTTTTGTGGAAGATGAAAAGCAAAAGAAAATGTTTACAATTTATGAAGTTAGTGATAAAGTTTATTTAGGTATTGTGTCTTCTCATTTTGATGTAAAATTATCAGGAAAACTTGTGGAAAAAGTAAGCATATTTATTTTGAATTATAAAATATTTAAGATTAATAACTTATATTAACATTGTTGAATTTATTAGTTGAATGATATTATATTAAATGCAAAAAGTACAATTTGTATAACATGTCGTCATATATCACAATTTAAAAACAACAATATACCAACAGTACCATCTTTCTTGAGAATGTTAACTACAGAGAATGGAAAAAATATTTGCAAATTGAAAGAAACATTTCTAGAGCAACCAAATATTATATATGGAGTGGCAGCAGGAGGTTGATATTTAAAAAATAAAAATATATTTTAAAAATTTTTAAATATAAATTTACTAATAATTTTTTTTTTTTTTTTAGTATTGTCATATGCTGAAATTATGGAACTACCTTCAGTTTTATATATTTTATATACAGATAGTTTTGTATTGGATTCATTATCTGCAGAACCACTTTTAAAATTATTTTCAGCAATGAATTGTACATTACACGATGTTACATTTTCTGAAAAAGATTTTTTTAATAAAGGCAATCTTTACATGTAAGACTGTTTTTTCTTTCTCTCAAAAATTTTATGTTTATATATTTACTTATTATATTTTATATTATACAAATTAAATTAAATAAAAAGAAAAGAAGAAATTAAATTAAAAATTGGAACAAATAGATACATATTAATATCATATAATTATAAAAGCTTTATAATTAAATACTATTCTTAATTATAAATTTCACGTATTTACAATATTTACAAGAATTTAATTATTATTTTTTTGACAATAATAATTTTAGTTATAATAATGATACACAAACAAATGTTTCATATTTGAGCTTGCAAATTTGTATGTGTTAAGGTTGTGGTGGGTAATATGTACGCGGTGTAGGTGCTGGAGGTACTGGATTATTTGGAGGAAAATATGAGGCATTTGTAGGATAAGGATATGGTTGAAATGGTGCCGGTGTTGTAGTAGGAGCAGGTGGTGCAGGTCTAGTGGTACCAGAGGAACCCATATGATGCATTGGTGGAACAATATGATTCATTGTATTTACAGGAGGAGGAGGTACAGAAACATTTGCCGGGGGAAATGCTGGTGGATAATTAATATTGATATTAATATTACTAGGTGCATAATTGGCTGGATATGTTGGAAAATGTGTTGGCACATCCATTGGTTTGATTGAATCTGTAGTATCTGTAGTTAAACATCCATTTGAAGAGACTGCAGCTGCTTCAACTTTAGTAACTTTTCCTGGTGTAACTATGATGTAATAATAATATTTTTTAATTTATTTGTTATAATAATAAAATATGATTTTTTTTACTGCACATACCATTTGGTGTAGTAGATGCTGATTCTGTAGGAGGTGCTGTTATAGCTCTATCTCTACAAGGTTCATTAGATGGTGTCAATGGTGGTGAATCTGGTGGCTTTGTGTTATTAGCTTGTGAATATAAATCTAATACTTGATGACATATATCTGAAAAAAAAATGTAAAGATCATATATATTTTTTAGATGAATTTAAAAAAATGATTCCTTTTTTAAGAACCTTCTAAAAGATCCATAGTAACATCCTCAACAAACATATCCCACCAACGTAAATGTTTTGGTTGTCTTCCATTCCAATCTACCACTTCAAATTTACTAAGTTTTCCAGCCAAATACATGAGAGCAACAGCTATAATTTCTGGTTCCCATTGCAGGGATAATGTTGTACATAAACTATATATGAAAACAAAAATAAAATATTATTTATATTAATTTAATAACAATACTAAAATATTCCTACCTATCGTTAACAAATGTCCAAGCCATTTGAACCATTTTTTGTAATTTATTTTTATCACCTACAATACATCATTAATTTTTTTTATTATTCCTTTTAATAAAATTTAGTTTAATATCTAATAAAATATTTTAATACCTTTCAGGCATTTTGCATATTTTAATAAATAACTATATGGATGTTCAACTTGTAAATCAAATTTAATAGTTTGTAACAAAATTCTTTCTAATGTCATAACTTCTTCCTAAAAAATAAAAAAAGAAAGATTATTTTACAAAAATAAAATAATTATTTTAATACATAAATATTAATTGATTTACTTTTGGATCTTCTCCAAATGTCATAAATTTTTGCTCACTCAACAAAGATTTTGCAGTTCTTATTATATCTTTACATTTTTTTGGTGTTTCTTCTACTTTTCCTGCCAGAAGTAAACAACAGCATGCAGTAACCTATATAATATTTATAAAATATGATATATGATACTTATATATATTTATTTTTTAGGTTAAAATATTTATCAATAAAAATACTTACATATCTTGGAAAATTCTTAAATGAATGAAACATATAAAATCTATGAAAATAAACAACTCCAGTTGCCATTGTATTATATCCTAAATCCATTTTTGTACCTGTATCAATAATAAATCGTGCACCTTCTTTTCTATATCTGCATTCTGTTTCATAATCAATTCCATCTTGAATAGATGGTGTATTTCGGAGTTCTTTTTTTTCATAATACCAGCATGGCATTTTTGTTGTTCTTGAAATAACACATATAAAAAGGAATAAATATAGATAACTACAAAGAAATTAATATAGATAAAAAACTTTATTGTGATTATATTACTAAAATAAGTTGATAATTTTATGTAATTTTATGTAATAATAATTTAATATTTAATTAATAAATTATATAATTATATAAAATTATACTAGAACTTTCTACAGGAGTTGTATATTTTGAAATAGGTTAGAATATTTACCAATATATAAAACTTTTTTCTTTTTTATTTATTTATACGTTTTCCATTAAACATATAAAATCTACTCAATTAAATAAAAACTTCAAAGTTTATTATATTAATAAGTTTTACTCCAAATTGTTTGTTATAAACAATTGCAAAATCTACAAACACCACGAAAATATATACTATGTGAATTTATCTGCAGTACATCTATATATGAAAATAAGAGATAGATCACTTTGTATAAAATGCTACCACTTGTTGGATATCAAGGATATGTTTCATGCGAACGTGTCTTATAATAAGTAAAATAAATGTTTTATATTGTTTTTTTTTTTTTTAATGAAGAATATTTGTTATTAAATATTTTGATAAAAATAAAATATAATTTTTATCAAAAAGATTATAAAAATTTTTTAAGTGTAATGTATATATATATATATATTATATGATTTATTTTTATATATATTATACATTATATGATTATTATATATTAAAGATGATATAAAATTTTTAATAATAATATATTAATAATAAAATTAAATATATATTTGTTGCTTTTAACATGTATTTTTTTCGCAATATATATTATCTGTATCTTACTAATATGTTTCTCATTTTATTTTTACTTTGTTTGTTGATAAATCGATAAGATACATATGAAGGTGACTTAGGTTTACAACGCAGAAGTGTAAAAAAGCAAATTCTGTAATAAAGAAAGAAGAAATATCTTTTTCTATGTAGTATTACATTGAAATAAATTTAGCTAGATACATCATTTTATTTCTTTTCTTAAAATTTGTGTTATACGAAGATAATAACTTACCTGTGTTCCCAGCTTTAAACTTAATTTATTTATACAGTGAGCTTTTTTAAATAATAATAATATAATAATAATATATATTTATATTTTATTTAAAATATTTTATATATCACAATATTATTATGAATATATATTTTAGACATATTATATATATACATGCAAGATATATATGTTGAATATATAAACATTTCTTTCAATATTTTTCATATAAGATAAACTTTATTAAAAAATTGTCATTTTGTCCGATTTTGTTTAAAACTATAAAATAGATGTTTCCGGTTCATGTTAAAGATCTAGTTTGAATACCTTTAGTTTAATATATTATCTGTGGTCAATACATAGCAGAGTATATGTCATAGAGTCATACATGTGTCTATTAATTTACCGCGAATTCTCGTAATTTTACATTTTGAGAGTGATCTACATCGCGCTCCCGTAACGTAACTAAATGTTAATTTATGACGACCGCGCACGCAAGAATATTTTACAAAAACGTCTACAATTTCACAGATAATAATACGACGACTATAATGCCGTTAGCGAATTTGACAGTTCCTTGGTCTGAGCAACATGTAACTGAGAAGGTACTGTTTTTATATTCATAGAAAAAATCGATTAATATTAAAAGTGTGTTAATTTATTAATTTACTTAATAATTTAAAATAGTTAAAAATTTGTATTTTAATTAATTTAATCATATAGCAAGATGTAGATATCCTCACATCAGAGTCTCAAGAGGAAGTAATGATAACTCAAGAAAATGTAGTTGAACCACCTTCAAATGGGTGCTCTGAATCACATGAAATAGAAGTACGTGAAGTAGTAAGAGATGGACATGAAAAAGCAGATCCTTCTCAATTTGAATTACTTAAAGTTTTAGGTCAAGGATCTTTTGGCAAGGTATTAACTAATATAATAAATTTATTAAAAATGATTAATTTATATATAATTAACTTATATATAATGAAATATAATTTTTTAGAAATAAAAATTCTTATGTTATTTAGGTATTTCTAGTGAGGAAAGTTGTTGGAAAAGATAGTGGAACACTTTATGCTATGAAAGTATTAAAGAAGGCAACATTGAAAGGTGCTTAATAAAATAACTTTATGAGAGGAGCTCTGAAAGTTTTAAAGCATGAAAATTATTGTAATGAAATATTAATTTTAATTATAATGTAAAGATTATTTTTTATAATAAGTTTTTTATTAAAATGTATGAAAAAATTTCATCTTGAAACATCAAAAATTATTGGCTTTTTTTATACTCAACAAATATATTTCAAAAATATAAGTTTTAATATTAAGAAATCAAAAGTTATGTGTTATGAGATATAATCCATTGATTTAGGTTCTTTAGATATTACTTTTTATATAAAATAAGATAAATTTTATATATATATATAGAGCTTTTAAAGTAATGAATTTCTAAAATTAAAAAAAATTGTATTTTTGAAATTATTTATTGAATACTATTGAAAGACATAAAAAAAGATTTATAATTTTTGATATTCCAATGCAAAGAACATCCAAATTTATAAAAAATTTTCAGAGCAATTCTCATTTTAAAATTATGTTATTTGTTTTTTTTTTTAAGTGGTTTAATATTGCAATATTATCTCAGTTCGGGACAGAGTTAGGACAAAAATGGAAAGAAATATATTAGTGGATGTTGAACATCCATTCATTGTACGACTACATTATGCATTCCAAACAGAGGGCAACCTCTACTTAATTTTAGACTTTTTAAGGGGTGGTGATTTATTTTCAAGATTAGCTAAAGAGGTATTCCATTTTTATTAAGAGGTATTCCATAATTTAAATTAAATTTAAATTAATATGAATATAATACATTTCATATTATTAATATTATAATATCTCATATTATTAATATTAAATTTTGTAATTGAATTGATTTGTTTTTGTAATTATTGTTTTAGCTAATGTTTACTGAAGATGATGTAAAATTTTATTTAGCTGAACTTGCTCTGGCATTGGATCATATACATAAACTTGGAATTATTTATAGAGATCTCAAACCTGAAAAGTCTGTATTATATTTCACTTTTTAATAATTTAATTAATATAAAATTATATAAATATTGATACTTATTTCATTTTCAACAGTATTTTGCTTGATACTGAAGGTCATATTGCTTTAACTGACTTTGGTTTAAGTAAACAGCCTTTAGATGATTGTAAAGCATATTCATTTTGTGGTACTGTAGAATATATGGCACCTGAAATTGTAACTAGAAAAGGTCATTCATTTGCTGCAGATTGGTGGAGTTTTGGAGTACTTATGGTTAGTAATAATATGATGATTTTTTAATTTAATCATTTTTAAATAAATTCTTAACTTTTCTAGTTTGAAATGTTGACTGGAGCTCTTCCATTTCAAGGTGCAAATCGTAAAGAAACAATGACACAAATATTAAAAGCAAAACTCGGAATGCCGCTTAATATTTCACCTGATGCTCAAGCACTTCTTAGAGTATTGTTTAAAAGAAATCCTGCAAATAGACTGGGATCTGGTACTTCTTTATATTTTTCTAATATAAAAATATTTCCTTTACATAAAAATAGTTACTCTTATATTTATTCATTATTTTATTTTAGGTGGAATAGAAGAAATAAAAAACCATCCGTTTTTTGCAACAATCGATTGGAATGCTCTTTATCGAAAAGAAATAAAACCTCCTTTCAAACCAGCAGTTAGTCAAGAAGATGATGCATTTTATTTTGATAGTGAATTTACCTGTAAAACGCCTAAAGGTAATATGTTTCATTTAATTAAATATAATTTATATTATAAATGAGAAAAGTTAAATGTAAAAATTTTAGATTCTCCTGGAGTACCACCAAGTGCTAATGCTCACGAATTGTTCCGTGGATTTAGTTTCGTCGCCCCGTGCCTTCTTGAGGATCACATAAAAATTCCTGAATATAAAAACTGTGATAGCCTTGCAGCTACTTTTCCAACATATGTGAGCGCTGTTTCTGTGAGTGATGAATATGATTTTAAACAAGAAATTGGTAAAGGAAGCTATAGTACTGTTTATTTAGCAATTCATAAAGCTTCTAAAGCAGAATATGCTGTGAAGGTAATTGAAAAATCAAAAAGAGATCCAACGGAAGAAATAGAAATTTTACTCCGATATGGAAGACATCCACATATTGTAACTTTGAGAGCTGTCCATGAAGATGATAAACGAGCTTATCTTGTATTAGAATTATTACGTGGTGGTGAACTTCTTGATCGATTACTACAAAGACGTAATCTTACAGAAAAAGAAGCAGCTGAAGTGATGTACACAATAGTTAGTGTAGTTAATTATCTTCATGAAAATGGAGTAATTATCTATTCATTTATCATTTTTTAAATTTTGTATTGTATTATATTAGATTTATTAATTAATCTGATTAATTTATATAATCGATAGGTCGTTCATAGGGATTTAAAACCTTCCAATATATTGTATTCAAAATTGGGAGCTGATCCAACAACACTTTGTTTATGTGATCTTGGTTTTGCGAAACAATTACGAGCAGAAAATGGTTTGTTAATGACTCCTTGTTACACTGCAAATTTTGTAGCACCAGAAGTGTTAAAACGTCAAGGATATGATGCAGCATGTGATATTTGGTCACTTGGCGTTTTATTATATATTATGTTAGCCGGGTAATTATAATTAAAAATCCAACAATTATGTATAACTTAAAAACTATTACATTACATCATATTTTTTTAGATATACACCATTTCGCAATAGTCCTGGTGATAGTGCAACGGATATATTAGATCGTATTGGACCTGGTTACATTGATGTCGAAAGTGGCATCTGGTGTCAAATTTCGAATGAAGCAAAAGAACTTGTCAAAAGAATGTTACATGTTGATCCTAATCGAAGGCCTACTGCAGCTGCCATATTAAAATATCCGTGGATTGCAAATCGTCATCGTCTTCCACAAAAAATATTACCTGAAAGTACTAAAGATCCACATAGCCTAAAGGTATATTTGCTCAATATGTATTTGAAATATATTCATGATTAAATTAATAAAATTAATAAACATATTTTTAGATAGCAGTAGCTGCGACATATAGAGCAATGTCTAGCAGTCCAAGATCACCTCATATTGGTCCTGTTGTCATGTCCGAGTTAGCACGACGTAGAACACAAGCCAAACCTATTGGTCCTACTGAAATTTGAAAAAAATTTAATTCTATTCTGTGTCGTTGAAAAGTAAGGAAAATTACGAATTATGTGATTACATATATAAAAGAACTATATTTTGTTGATATAAATCTAGTATTATTTGTGCAATGTTCAAATGTAGCTAGTATACTAATTTTATAAAAATACTCTGTTATTATATAACTTGCATCACCGAAATCATCTTTATTCTAATTATGATATGTGTATGTGTATAGAATAGGAAATATGTATTTAAATTCATATTTTCAATTTTAATATAATATAAAAATTAAATGTCAAAAAGAAATTTTAACTCTTATAATCTATATTGTACATGACTATCATTTAAATATTAAAAATAATATAAATATTTGTGAAAAAGAAATATACACTTATACACATATATGCATATATATATAAATATATATACATATTTAATATATATATTTTACAAATATTTATATTATATATATTTAATAAAATGTAAAAATGAATTATATCTATTTCAATTTTTGATCAATACTTTGTTAAATAAATTATTAATTGTATATAATAAAATAATTTTACTTAATTGAAATTAAAATAATTAAAA